GGGGGGGGGGGTAGGTGTGTACACAAAAACACTCATGAATATGTAATAATTTAAACAACCAAAGGGCACATTCTATAAGCTTGCCTCGTGGCTGCCAGCACCCAGTCCCTCTCTTTCCATGAGTCCAGAGTCCTCAGCTGCTCGCTCTGGCCATGTACCCATCTCTGCCTGCATCTCTGGTGTTGTTGCTTCTCTGGGTAGGGTCCCACATTCCGCTCATGCTCTTCTCCCTTGATGGTCCTAAGGTCCTCTGTTACTAGACTGTGAGATTAACTAATACCCTGTTTTTGTTACAAAATTTCTACCTTTACAGTTGTGGCAACTGCAATTAGTCATGATAACAATTACTCACTATTGAATCATAAGAATCTTATCCCCATCTCACTTCACCAGACCCATCTAGACAAGATGAAAAATATTCAATGGGGACTCTACCTCCCCCTGTACACTCTGAAACTAAATTCCCTCTTGAGAACTTTTAAGCCAATCACGTCATTCCTTTATCATTCATAGGGTTTTTACTGGAGGATTTTGTGGGGAGTAGATTGCCAGACCGTCCTTCTGAGGCAGCTATGGGTGGCCTCAAAACATCAACATTTTGGTTAGCAGTCAACCATGTTAACTGTTAGCACCCTCACAAACACCAAGGAGCCAAACCTCTTTCTACTGAGTCAATTCCAACTCATAAGAACCCTATAGGATACAGAACTGCCCCATAGGATTCCAGGACTGTGGTGTGATGCTGCAGGATAAGCACTAGACTGCTAACTGCAAGGTTAGCAGTTCAAATCCACTAGCCACTTTCAGAAGCCCTACACAGGTCACTGTGAGCCAGAACCTGCTTGGTGACACTAAATAACAACAGTCTTCAGAGAAGCAGATGGTCATGAACCACAAACTGTTCAGTTAGCAGCCAAGTGTTTCATCCACTGTGCTTCGGGCTTCTTGCACCACCCAGAGATCTGAAACCAGTTGCTGACGAATCAACTCCAATGCGCAGCAGAGGTGGAGTAGAACTGTGCCCCCCAGGGTTCTCAGTGGATGATTTTTCATAAGTAGATCATCAGGCCTTCCTCCCAAGGTGGTGAAATTAGGTTGGAATTTAGCTTAAACTAAAGTGGGTTCTTGCCCCAGTGAGCAAGGTCTTGTTAGACAATACTGGGGCCATGGCCCATGGGTGATGCCCAAGATTGATTCTATTCTAACCATGATCTTCGTAAGGATCTGTGGGGTCTAAGAAGCACTCTGCTTCCCACACTGTAAAATTCCAATTCAGATACTTGTTGTTGTTGTTAAGTGCCATCGAGTCGGTTCCGACCCATAACGACCCTGTACAGGATTTCCGAGGCTGTAAATCTTTAAGGGAGCAGAAAGCCTCATCTTTCTTCCATGGAGCAGCTGGTAGTTTTGAACTGCTGACCTTGTGGTTCATAGCCCGATTTGTAACCACTATTAGATGTGTACAAATTATCAGCGTCTCCTTTCCTGCATCCCATCCCATGGTGTAACAACAGTCTGCTACTGACCAGGTGACTCACTACACCATTGAGCTGTACTCCCCAACCCTAGACCTGGGAACTCTAGAAAAAGAAACCTTTAGTTTTGTTTCTCTACAAAGTGTCTTCTACATCCATGAACTCAAAAAGAAAACCTCAGTGCTGTTGAGTCGATCCGGACTCATTGCGATCTTGTAACAGAGTTTGTAAGGCTCTAATCTGATTGGGGGCAGATCACCATGTTTTTCTTCCAACAGAGTCACTGGGTGGGTTAGAACCGCCAATCTTCCAATTAGTAGTTCAGTGCTTAACCACTGTGTCACCAGGACGCAGCAGTTAAAACTGAAAACAAATGAAGGGATGCCAGTGAACTTAAGACAGCCTTTTTAATAGCACTGATTTCAATGTAACAAAAATGACCGATTATTACAGAGCTAAAAGAAGAAAGAAACATTTAGAACCTGGAACAGTTAGGCATTATCCTGCAGGTGCACTGACTGGAAGGACAGAAGGCAGTGCTCCTATTCCCTCCTGTCATTACTGTTGTTGTAATGGTTGTTGAGCAACCAACAACTCACAACGGCCCAACACCGAACAAAACGAAGCACTACCCTAGTTCTACACCATCACCAGGATTAAGTGTGGGTAGAACCGTTGTGATCCACACAGCTTTCACTGGCTAAGTTTCTAAGCAGGCCAGACATTTCTTCCTAGTCTGCCTTAGCCTCGAAACACTGGTGAAAACCTGTTCAGCAACACAGCACCACACAAGCTTCCACTAACAGATGGGTGGTGGCAGGAAGTCTTCCACATGTAAGAGGAGAATTCTACAAGGGGACCACCGGTGTCCTCCCCGTGATACTGCCAGAGAGAAATTCCACGTGAGCTCTGCCGGGACAAAGCACTGCGGAATGAGCACAGCCATCGTTCTGCCTGCAACACACGCTAAGAGCACATGTCCACCCACGGGCAGTTTGCTCACACACAGCACCTATGGTCCCAAGAAAATGCCCTCTCATCAGGGCGAATTTTTCCTCACCACCAGCCCTATATGAAATGTCACTGGCTACACTTGTCTTCTCTCCATCAACACTGTGGCCCCTCCAGTGTGTGATTCCAATGCACCGTGTGGTAGCAGGAGGGCAGTATCTGACCTCAACCTTTCCTCACAGGGAACACTACTTACAAGTGTTCAATGTGTTAAGCCTGTCCTTGAACTGGTTTCTAAATTCAGGGTGGATATATTCAAGGTCATATGCTGGCTCTCATGGACATATTTTAATTTTCTTCAACTTCAGCCTGAAGTTGCATATGAGTAATTGATGCTCTGTTCCAGAGTGGGTCCTGGCCTTGTTTTGACTGATGATACTGAACTTCTTCATCATCTCTTGCCACAGATATAGTCAATTTGATTCTGGTATATTCTATCTGGTGAGGTCCATGTGTATAGTTGTCTTTAAAGTTGCTGGAAAAATGTGTTTGCAATGAATAAATCAGTAGTTTTTCAAAATTATATCATGACATTTTTAGCATCATTTCTATCACCAAAGCCTTATTTTCCAACTACTGAAATTTCCTCTTTGTTTCTAATCTTCACATTCTAATCACCAGTAATTATCAATGAATCTTGGTTGCATGTTGGATTAATCTCAGATTGAAGAAATTGGTAGAATTCCTCTATTTTACCATCATTAGCTTTAGTGGTTGATGAGTAAATTTGAAAGACCAATGGCATTAACTGGTCTTCCTTGGAGGCCTATGGATATTATCTTATCACAGACAGCATTGTCTAGAATTTTTTTTTTTTTTTTTTAACAACAAATTGAGACACCATTCCTCTTCCATCTATGGTTCCAGGCATGGTAAAGCATATGATTGTGTGATTCAAAATGACCAATACCAGTCCACTTCAGTTCCCTAATGCCTAGGGTATCAATCTTTTTGCGTTCCACTTGTGACTTCAGATATTCCTAGATTCATACTTCAAATTCCACATTCTGATTAAAAATGGATGTTTGCTGCTGTTTCTTCTCATTTTGAGTCATGCCCCATCAGCAAATGAAGGTCCAAAAAGCTGCACTCCATCCACATCACCAAGGTCAACTCTACTTTGAGGAAACAGCTCTTCTCCAGTTGTATTTTGAGAGCCTGGCCAACCTGAGGGACTCATTTTCCAGCACGGTATCAGATAACACTCCACTTCTATTCATAAGGTTTTCAGTGACTGACCCTTCACAGAAGTGGTCTGTCTCTCCTTCTTCCCAGTCTGTCTTATAGGCTGGAAGTTATGCTGAAACCTGTCCACCATGAATGACCCTGCTGGTATTTCCTTTAAAATACAGGTGATGTTGTCCCCAACATCACAGCAACACACAAACCACCACAGTACAACCAACTGGACATTTCAGTTATTTGTTTTAAATAAAAAACAGAAGGATTCCAATACAGCTAACTCGGCACTAGAAGCCCTCATAAGTGCCCAAGAGAAGCCCGCCCTGGTTGTTGCTTATGCATGAGGCTGCTAACTGCAAGGTCAATGGTTCAAACCCACCAGCTACTCTGTATGAAAAGGATGAGGCTATCTGCTACTATAAAGATTCACAGCTTTGGAAACCCGAAGGAGCCATTCTTTTCTGTCTTACAGAGTCTCTGAGTTGGAAGTAAATTGATGGCAGTGGTTTTTAGTGGGTAGAAGCACCCAGTCGGAAACTGAAGACTGAACCAGGAAGGAGTTAGTGAGACTGTCTAGATATTCACTGTTTGCCGCTCAGCTATCTGGTTGGAGGATCAGAGCTGGGGTGTAAAAGGTGAGGCTACTGCTGCCTGCTGGCCCCTCTGAGGATCTGTGTGAAGGCGAGGGCTCTGTGCCTACCTTCTTCACTGATAGGTCATGGTCCAGCTCACTCCCTGAATCCTCCTCGGCTTGCTGCTGCTCCTGCAAGTCCTTCATCTTGAGCAGCAGCTCCGCCTTGGCAGCCGACGTGCTATAGTACGTAGAGTTGGTAGTCAGGGACATGGCTGCCATCACACTCGACTCCTCTTTCCTGGGGGAACGTCAAAAGGAGAATCGCTGAGAATCTGTGTGTGTGGCTGCGCCCCTTGACCCTTCCCCCAGTGTGACAAGTAAGTGTCAGGTTTAATGCGAGGATTCCAATTACAGAGATGAGACAATGAAAGGTTCAGCTCAGACCTCCAAAGGCAAGGTCAAATGAATACAGTCTAAGGGGTCCCTAGGTGGTGCAAACAATATTAGCGCTCAACTACTAGTCAAAAGGTTCCCAGTTTGACCCTATCCAGAGAAGCAGTGACACCACCAGAGATGGAGGCAGAGATGGGGACATGGAGAGAGGGAGCAGCCGAGGACTCTAGAGCTAGCTGCCAGGAGGCAGACTTGCAGAATGTACCCTGTGGTGGTTTAAATTATTATATACGCCTGAGTGTTTATAAAAAGAGAGAGAGCTACAATGAATAGAGAGAAATACTGTTAACTGATGGGACATGGAAGGGATTATAATCATTGCAATGAAACAAAGTATATGACTTGTTAAATGTAAAACTGATGATCTGCCCTGTAAACTTTCACTAAATTCACAATAAAAACTTTATAAACAAAGAGAGTGAAGAGCATGAGTGGAGCGTGGGACCCTAACCAGAAAAGCGGTAACAATAGAGATGGAGGCAGAGGGGGTAGTGTAGATTGAGCAGCTGAGAACTCTTGGCCCATGGAATGAGAAAGGCTGTGTCCCTTCAGGCAGGACGTTGGCTTTCAAAATGTGCCTTTGGACATGTAAATGAATATATAGCTTCTGTTTTGTCTGTATTCATCAAAAAAAAAAAAAAAAAGGAAATACAAGTTAAATATTATTAACTGATGGTACATGGAAGGGATTGCAATCATTGAATGAAAAACAATATATGATTTGTTGAATATAAAACTGATGATCTGCCCTGTAAACTTTCACTCAATTAATAATAAAAACTATTAAAAAAAAATGCTGCCAGTTTGAACCTATCCAGAGGCACCTAGGAAGAAAAAAATCTAGCTACCTGCATCAGAAAACTCACAGCCTTAAAAATTCCAAGGAACATGGGTTATTGTGAATCTGAATGAACTTTATGGCAATTTCCAACAACCCGCTAGATGGCTATCAAATCAAGTAACACTGGTGACCCAATGCAGGCTCCTCAAAAATCAACAAATGGATGAAGTCTATGGCAAGTTGCTTTAAAACCAGGCATCACACTGCACAAGGCAGACAGGTCTACAGCTCTCCACTATGAAGATGAAGGTGCAGATTGGCTTGGCTGGGGCCCAAGACCACAGGACAGTAAATGTGACCGTGAACAGACAGCCACCCATCTGCTTTCAGGTGTTTTATCTTATTTCTCCTTTTCTGCTACATCTCTTTGGCTCTCTACCCTACTGCTGATGATGTCCACAGTGACAGTGTCCCACAGGAAAGATGTACCCTTTGCCATCAAACTGTGGACAAGGAAGTCATCAAAGTGCTACTTGTAAAGCAGATCCAGCCAGTCATCTATAAGTAAAAATATAGATTATTCTTGAGAAAACACACATTCACTCTTCTGAGGATGGGTTTCTCCACCATGTAAAGTCTCTGGCTGATGCAAACTATCTGCACTTGACCTACTAGCCCAATGGTTTGAACCTACCTAGACATACCTCAGAAAAAAGGCCTGGTGATAGGTATGTTCTCAAGTAGTCACCGTCTTGAAAACCTTAGTTGTATTCTGCACACATGGGGTGCCTTGAGTTGGCATCGCCTCAATGGCAATTGACAACAATGCACCTAGGCAGAAGTGGCATGGGGGATGGGATGGTTCTGGGAGGCAGGGTCCCCTGTACATAGGAGAATGTTCAATAGTACCCCTGGATTTCACCCTATACAACACACACACCCACTCCAAAACTGATTCCCAGTAATTGCTAAATGACCCCTAGGGATACAATCTCCGCCCCTTGAGGACAACTGTCTCAGAGAAAGGAGATTCATGATTGCTCTTTTAAATTAAGTGTGGGTACTTTCAAGTCTCTCCCCCTAAACTCCAAGTAAGCTCATCCAGCCAGCCCCTTTAGGCTCCTTCCCTTCCGAAAACGTCACAAACAAGCATTGTGGTGGCCTTCCTGAAAATCTGTCCTCACAAAAGCAATCGTGGAAGATGAGTTGTCACTGTCAACCACACCTGGTCTACACTACGGGGGAGCAGGCAGGTACACAAGGGCCACATGCCCAGCAGGGGGCAGCATTGCTCACTTGTCCTCCATTGTCCTTGGGGAGGGACCTTTGGGGAGCAGCTTCCTCCGCTGCTGGGCCTCCTCCAGGAGGTGCTCGTCCTTGGGGAAGATGCCCCCCATCAGGTCCATGGTGGTCTTCATCTTCATACTGGGGTCCAGGACGTCGGCCAGGGAGCGGTCTTTCCCCACAATCTCACGGGCCAGCTCCTCAGATTTGAGGTCCTCCTCTGTCTTCTCCAGGACCTTTCCGAAACCTAATCCCGCTGGGGAGGCGCTGCAGTCCTTGTCAAGGGTCACCTGACCTCCAGCAGGCTCTGGCTCAAGCTTGGCTTTGGGCTCGGGCTCAGCGGGCCGGGCTGGGGCAGGTTCTGCGTGCTCGTTGCCGCGGCGTGTGTACACGCAGAAGCGGGAATACGAGTGGCTCGCTGTGCTCAGCGTCTTGATCTGGTCACGCTCCAGGCCGCGAGGCAAGGCTGGTGGCTCAGTGGGTCGGGCCAGGCCCTGGCGGCTCTCCTTCTCAGGCTGGCTCTCCGAATGCACGATTTTGATGGGCACCATCTTCACTGTCGTGTTGTTCTCCATCACCCGCTCGATTCTGCAGGGACAAGAGCAGTCAGAAGGGTGCGCAGAGCAGCGCTCAGCTGTTGGCCCCCCATCACTGACCTCCCAGCAGGGAGCCCTGACTTAAAGCACCCCACCCGGGGCCAGGGCAGCAGGGTCAGCCAAGAGCACATCCTGGATGGGCTTAGGGCAACACCATGCCCCACTCGCTGTGTTGGGGCCCCTTCGGATGCTTCCCGGGTTCATCTGATTGTTTTCCCCATTTTAGTTCCAGGATACAACTGAGACACAATCCCCACTCGATTTTCTTTTGTGGGGAAGCTGCTGTGGATGGGCAGTTTTCACAGAATGTGGCGGGTATCTGGGGGCCGTGCCTCTGCGAGCAGAGCTGGAACTGGCGTGCAGACCCTGGGCAGGGATCTGAAGACAGGGCACACTTTGATTTGACATCAAGCTCAGTACCTTCCCACTCAGAAGTGCTCTTCATATTCATGTGCCTGTATCTGCCAGCCACCTCCCAGCTACCTCTCAATCTGCTACTGATCTCCACCTCTCCTTCCAGTCCTCCATCCCACCTCCCAACCTCTACTCCACATCTCTATGTTCCACTCACCTCCCAGCCCATCACTCCACCCCACCTCCCTATGCTTGACTCTACCTCACAGCCCCACCCTCCACCTCACCCCTCAGCCCCAACCCCACACCTCCTACCCCGCCACTCACTCTTCTACACTGGACTCCAACTCCCTGTCCTCCACCCCTCCTTCTAGCTCCCCATCCCTCCTCCCAATCCTCCATCTCTCCACCCCTCCTTCCAGGTCTCCATCCCTCCTCCTAGTCCTCAATCCCTCCTCCAAGGCCTCCATCCCTCCACCATCCCTCCCAGCTCCCCACCCACTTCCCAGGAGTCTTTCATACCACTGAGATAAGGATTCCAGCAGCAACCAGGAGCCACATGGACTCCGTGTCATTTCAAGTGACTCCAGAATAACACTTATATCTCCCTTTAATAAAGCTCCTTGGAAAAGGAGAAGGGGGACAGAAGGTTTCCTGTGTTTGCAGCCACACCCAGGGGGTGGCAATGCCACAGAGCTCCATTAGGGTCAGGGTTCTTTAAGTGTTGCTTAAAGTCCTATTGGAGTCCTGGTGGAGCATGGTAGGATAAGTACAGGACCACAATGTTGTCAGGACCACCATGTCGGAGGTTGAAACTCACCAGCTGCTCCTTGGAAACACTATACAGGATTGCTATGAGTCGGAACTGCCCTGACAGCAAGCACTCAGCAACAACAAAAGTCCTATCAGGAAAGCACAGCTGCCTGCTGGTGCACACACATCCCTGCACATCTGAAAGGAGAAGCTGAAGACACTTCTAGGGGGCTACACGATGAGCCTTGCTTGGGATTCCTGGTGTGGGCTAATGCATCAAATGGCAAAGTCATTTGAACTACAAGATTGGTGGTTCAAGCTCACCAGCTGCTCCTTGGAAACCCTATACAGGGTCGCTATGGGTCAGAATCGACTTGACGGCACTTCACAACAACAACAACACTATAAGCCTAGGCTGCATGAAGCAAAGAAGGTGCTCCTGGGTGTCAAATCCAATGCTGCTTTTCTCCCCAAAGTTAGTGAGTCAGTGACCAGAGAAGACATTATAGCTCTTTCCTGCTTCTAAGGGTGTGGCTATTGTTGTTGTTGTTGTTTTCCGTAACTGGAATTCTCACACTGAACCTGACACTTACTCACAGGGACCCTGTAATCGCATTTCTGTGGAGCGGCTGGTGAGTTTGAACCGCCAACCTTACAGTTCAAATCAACCTTGCTATCCAGTGTTTATCTTACAGAGCGACACCAGGACCCCAGGGGTGTGGTAGACAGCCGAAAATGAGAACATTTTGTATTTTATTTCTTTCCTTCTGAAATAACCCTGGTGGTACAGTGGTTAAGCACTTCACTGCTGATCAAACGGTGGCAATTCAAACCCACCACCGACTCCACCAGAGAAGATTGGAGGTCTGCTTATGCCAAGATTATGCAAAAAATCTAAACCCAGTGTCAGTTCTGACTCACAGTGGCCTTATCAAACAGTGGAACTGCCCCCAAAGGGTTTCTATAGGGATGCCAACTGCCACATCTTTCTCCTGCTAAGCAGCGGATGGGTTCAAACCACCAACCTTTGGGCTAGCAATTGAGTGCTTAAATACTGCACCACCAGAGCTCCCTCTCCATAAACTGACAACCTTGAGAACTCAATGGGGTCACTATGAGTCAGAATCAATTTGATAAAAGGTTTGAGTTTTTTGATTTTAGTTCATTACCTCTAGCAAAACAAACAAGAGCACAAGTAAGCTTTTATAGACAATTTCCATTCTTTCCTTGTGAATAAATAAAAGACTGCTTCTTAGTTGTAAATTACTAGACACCACGTAACAATAACAAACACCACCTCTGAGAAATTAAAACAAGTCCAGGAGAGGCAAATTCTAAATAACCCTCCTAAATTTAGAAATCATCTAAAGAACAGATTTGATTATTTGACACTAAAGACTGAAGACCAGAGGAGTTGTGGTGTGGTGGTGTGACATCAAGAACATCATACATGAAAAAAAAAAAAAAAAAAAAGGTCACTTTAAAGACAGGAAAGAACGAAAAGTCAAAATGGATGCCAGCAGAAACTCTGAAACTTGCTCTCCAGCACAGAGATGCTAAAGCAAATGGAAGAAATGATGAAGTAAAAGAGCTGAACAGAAAATTTCAAAAGACAGCGCAAGAAGGCAAAGTCAAGTATTATAATGAAATGTGCAAAGCCTGAGATTATCCAAAAGGGATAAGCTGACAGAAAGTAATAAAAAAATTCAAACTTTAACTTACAATATTAAAGGATTCTATAGGCAAAATTCTATCATGCGTTCTCCAGCATCATTTCTATCACCAAGGCCATATTTTACAATAACTGATCCTTCCTCTTTGCTCCCAACCTTTGCATTTCAATCACCAGTAATGATAAATACATCTTGATTGCATGTTTGATCAATTTCAGATCGACGAAGTTGGTAGAATTCTTCTATTTCATCCTCACTGGCTTTAGTGGTTGGTGAGTACATTTCAATAATAGTGGTATTAACTGGGCTTCTCTGTAGGCGCATGGACATTATCCTATCACAGACAGCGTTGTACCTCATGACTGATCTGGATATGTTCTTTTTGACATTGAATGCAACACCATTCCTCTTCAATTAGTCATTTCCGGCATAGTAACCCATGTGGTTGTCAGAGTCAAAATGGCCAATACCAGTCCATTTCAGCTCATTAATGTCTAAGATATTGATGTTTATGGGTTCCATTTCATTTTTGACAACTTCCAATTTTCCCAGGTTCACACTTCATACATTCCATGTTCTGATTTTCAATGGATGTTTACAGCTATTTCTCTTCATTCTCTGTGCCCCATCAGCAAATGAAGGTCCTGCAGCCTTTTCTCCCACTTGCTTTACTCCATTCGTGTCATCATGGTCAACTCTACTTTGAGGAGGCAGCTCTTCCCCAGTCGCATTTTGAGTACCTTCCAACCTGAGGGGCTCATTTTCTAGTACTATATCTGACAGTATTTCTCTGCTATTCATAAGGTTTTCAGTGACTAAATATTCGGAAGTAGTTTGTCACTCTTCCTTCCTGGTCTGTCTTCGTCTGGAAGCGCATCTGAAACCTGTCCACCATGGGTGACCCTGCTGGTATTTAAAATACTGGTGGCATAGCTTTCAGAATTACAGCAACTCACAAGCCACCACAGTATGACAAACTGACAGATGAGTGTTGGCCTTGGTGATACAAATGATGCTGGAGAACGCATGATAATTCTGCAAAATCAGTGATTTGTTCCTTTCAAGCACCTTATTTAAACAGCATAAGAGACAACTTTATACACATGGACCATGCCAGATGGAATACACAGAAATCAAATTGACTACATCTGCGGAAAGAGACGATGGAAAAGCTCCATATCATCAGTCAAAACAAGGGCAGGGGCAGACTGTGGAACAGACCATCAATTACTCATATGCAAATTCAAACTGAAGCTGAAGAAAATGAAAACAAGTCCACAAAAGGCAAAATATGACCCTGAATATATCACCACCTGAACTTAGATATCGCTCGAAAAACAGATTTGATACATTAAACACTAAAGACTGAAGACCAGAAGAACTGTGGGATGACATCAAGAACATCATACAAGAAAGCAAAAGTCATTAAGAAGACAAGAAAGAAGGAAAAGGTCAAAATGGATGTCAGCAGAGACACTGAAACTTTCTCTCCAGCGTAGAGATACTAAAGCAAATGGAAGAAATGAGAAGGTCCAAGAGCTGAACAGAAAATTTCAAAGATCAGCTCAAGAAGACAAAGGCAAATATTACAATGAAATGTGCAAAGATCTGGAATCAGAAAACCAAAAAGGAAGAACACGTCAGCATTTCTCAAGCTGGGGGAACTGAAGAAAAAAATTCAAGCCTCAACTTTCGTTACTGAAAGATTCTCTGGGCAAATTACTGAATGATGAAGAAAGCATCAAGGGAAGATGGAAGGAATACAGAGTCACTGTACCAAAAGGAAATGGTTAATGTTCAACCGTTTCAAAAGACAGCATATGATCAAGAGCCAAGATACTGAAGGAGGAAGTCCAAGGTATATTGAAGGAACTGACAAAGAACAAGGCACCAGGAATTAATGGAATAAAAATTGAAACCATTCAAGAAAGTGGGGCGGCACAGGAGGCACTCACTCATCTCTGCCAAGAAATTTGGAAGACAACTATCTGGCTGACTGATTGGAAGAGATCCATATTTGTGTCCATTCCAAAGAGAGGTGACCCAACGGAATGCAGAAGTCATCAGACAATCAATCTCTTTGATATCCCATGCGAGTAAAGTTTTACTAAAGGTAACACAGAAGCGGCTGCAAGCATACATTGACAGAGAACTTCCAAGGTTCAAGTCAGATTCAGAAGAGGCCGTGGAACAAGGGATATCATTGCTGATG